AATTACAGTAAAGTTTAGTAGTTTAAGAATAAGTTTTAACTGAGTTATAAGGCATTACGTTAAATCATAATAGGTTAATAGTATAACTAACAGTTAAGTCATTTAAGTAAACTTATAGATTATAGTATAGTGTTAAGTTGATAATATTAATCGTTAAAAATATTAGGAGTCAGTGAACTTGGATTGAACCTAGAGTTAACTTAGAAAGTTTTTGTATTAATCAGGGTTTAGAACAAAGAGTATAATATGAATGATTTATTGAACATTATGGAAAACACTTTGAACAATCTGTATTGAAATTGTGCACCTGTGACCTTAATGTGGGTTTTGTGAAGCACGACAGGCATCATGGAATTCGAATTGTCTGCTTGGAACTTGCAAGTCTCGTGGTGGTCTTGTGATGCATAGTTTGTAAAGCGCGATATGCATGGAATCTGTACGCCCCCAGCAAGTGATTATCACACTGCTGGAGGGTATAGAAAATGGTATATAAGTTGGAAAAGGTTTGAATAAAGTTGGCTTCAGTCCTGATCAGACTGTTCCCAGAAGAACTGCCTCCAAGTGGTCTCTTCTCACCGTCCAGATTCTCCGGTGCGGGTCCTAACCCACCCTTGGTCGGAGCGGGTCTCCGACAGTACAGCGTAATAGCTGCACGTGAATCCCTGGAATTTTCACTCACAGAAAAAAATACCAAATAACTACTGCAAAGTTATTTTATTTTTAGAAAGATTTTTTTTTACAATGATTCTTATCTATGAAAATCTGATGGTTTTTAATAAAAGGAAGGCAGCCTGGCTTAATGCTTTGCACACAGGGTCCTTGATACACATCTATAGAATGAGTCTAAATATGGTACAGGCGATTCCAGAGTTAGGATCCCTGGTGTGGCCCCCTATCCACCTCTGCCTTGCACAGGCAGCTTGTCTCCAACATTCCGCTTTTAGTCGGTTCATCTATAAGGACAGAAATTCTCCTTCTACATAAGATGTCTAATTTTTTGCCTGCTTAAAAAAAAGTCCTTTGGTTTCAGATATCGCTCCTAAAGAAATACTAAAGCACACATAGATCTTTTATTCTAGCCTTTATTTCCATTAACATAAATAGTTATGCTTTTGGAAAAACAAAAATGCCTCCCCTTCTTTTATTTTTTAAAAATTTTAGGTAAAAGGATAGCTCAACAGGAAAGTTTCCATTTAGCCCTCTTCAACTTCCAGAATTTAAAACAAGATGGCATGAGGAATGCCTTTTGTTTCATGATTATTGTTTTTTAATCTTACTTGTTTTTAGTTAAACAGTTTAGAAATCTATATAATATTAAAATTCCTTTTATAACTAATCTATCAAAGTTTACACTGCCCATCCCCATAAGAAAATTTATAAAAGCATTTCTGGCTGAATTTTAACCAGAAATCACAGCAAATGTTTTAAATGCATATGTTCTAAGTATTACATATAATATATTTAGATAAAGAGGTATTATCAGAAAACATATCTTCCCATTGTGTCTGTACAGTGGTTAAACCTCACATCTCGCTTCCCTTCCCTACAAATCACTCTCTGTTTCGTTTAACGTGACTACAACTATTTTGTAGTTGAAGTAAAATGTTTAAAATATGAACTAGCATTAGACTAGAATGGAGATTAAGATACAAGTGGTATGTAGATCTAAATAATTATATTTGTTTTATTTTCATTTTCCAGACTATTTAAAACATCTAATGGCTCAAAATTAAAAGATATCCACATTAATCCCAGCTGAGTACCCTCAGTTTATTTCATTTTGTTTTTTTGAGACAGGGTCTTGCTCTGTCGCCCAGGCTGGAGGGCAGTAGTGTGATCATAGTTCACTGCTGCCTTGAACTCCGGGGGTCAAGTAATTCTCCCATCTCAGCCTCCTTGGTAGCTGAGATTACAGGTGTACACCTAGCTAAGATTTTAATTTTTTGTAAAGACAGGGTCTTGCTATGTCACCCAGGCAAGTCTTGAACTCCTAGCCTCAAGCAGTTCTCCCAAAATACTGGGATTACAGGCATGAGCCACCATGCCTGGTATCAATTTTTTATTTACACATTTGATTCTTAGGCCAAGTTACTATTTTTGAACATTACATAGATGAACTTACACTCAAGAAGATATCAAAAGTCAAAACATGCAAGTCATTTGGGGAAAAAAGGAGAAGGCAAATGATTTATCTTCATTTTTAGAAACTTCTCAACATTAACATTATTTTCAGTGCACTACTCTAGGACCAGCCATGGTACATTTTAGTTACCTTAAAAAATCTCATACAGTAAGCATAAATAAAAAAAGACCATACTCTAAAAGCATTTAGTTCAGATGGAGGAGCAGGCAGAGATAATCCAAATGAACAAACGCCAAATCTTTGTAAACAAGCAAACAAACCAAAAAAACTCAAGCAGAAAAGGTAGAGAAGAAGGTAGCATAAAGTTTTCCCCAAATTTAGACTATTCAAGATAATTAAACTGTGGTTTGACACACTGCTAGAGCATAATGCACACGCACTTTTCTGGACTTCACCCTCCAGGTTGATGCTTCTATCTTGTACCAGGCATGCAGGTGAACACACTCTCCCTTCAGTTACACAGAGATGACCGTTCAGTATACTCATTGGCTTATTAATGAGAACATCATAAAATAGGTACGAACTGGGCTGGGTGGCTCAGCCTGTAATCCTGTGCCTTGGGAGGCTGAGGTAAGTGGATTGCCTGAGCCAGCGGGTTCGAGATCCGCCTGGGCAACTTGGCGAGACCTTATCTCTACAATAAAATCAAAAAATTAGCCGGGCATGGTAGCGCGCACCTGTAGTTCCAGTTACTTGGAAGGCTGAGGCGGAAGGATCGCCGGAGCCCAGCAGGTCGAGGCTGTGGTGGACAGGACTGGCCACTGCACTTCAGTCTGGGTGACAGATTGAGACTCCATCTCAAAAAAAAAAAAAAAAAAAAGAAGCAAAAAAGAAAATAGGTACGAAGCCACCTACCATTGTCACTGTCTCCTTCAGATGGAACAGCTAGAGCTGTCCCATGTCTGTGCCTGTGTAAGTGTGTTGAAGGAGATAGGAGGAAGAATGAGGGCTGGGTCTGCAGGGGAGCCAGTGAGCTGGTCTGCATACAGTTGCACAAGGACCAGGAAAAACCAAAGGGGCAGCAGCATTTCACAAACGGTATAGGGCTTGTATCATGAAGAGTGGATTTCATTTACATGGGATTTAATTTCAAATGCACAGTATAGGAGAAGAATGAAAGATGGCTCATGGAATAAAAAGAATGATAAAAACTGAGTGTTAGTACTCATCAACCATATACTTTGCATGCAGTTAATATCGTTAATCTTAACAGTTCCAAAAGCCCACAGACTTAGAATACTAATGAGTCAGGTCAGCGGAAAGAAAGAGTACCCATAGATGATGTAGATAAAAAGCAAAAGACCTACCAGATACCTTTCTCAAAGACTTTCCAAATGACTAACAGGCTTAGCAAATACGATTCACACCAAAAAATGCGGTCACATAGGTCAAAGCTTAATATATGTAAATATAACTATTATTTAGAAATAAACCTATTATAGAATCATTGTTTACCATTAGTGATTTACTTTTCTCCCAAAGCAATGTAAAAAAAAATTTAAAAAAACATCTTTAGGTCTACTGCCATGCTTTATTGATAGCTGAATCTAGCCAATTCTATTCTCAGTCATTGGCATACCTTGCAATACTGTTTTAAATATTGCTCAGTAAAACAAAAAACAATGTTGGATACTAGTAATTCTATTTAACAACAAATATAATTAACCAAAAGAGATCAATCAATATCAAGAACTTTTGAGTTGGTCACTTATGAAATAGTATCTCTGATTTTTGTACTAAATATTCACACAGCAATTTCATATTCATTATATATATATAATTTTTATTCAACCATAAAGCAGGGCCAGTAAAACAAATGGACACGGTTCTAGAAATGAATATTTGGGTATGTACAGTTGACTTTCTTTGGGAGGAAAACAGAAGAGAAAAAAATGTTTCTTTTTTTTGAGTTGGAGTCTCACTCGGTCGCCCAGACTGGAGTGCAGTGGCCGCTCCCGGCCACCGCAGCCTTGACCTGCTGGGCTCCAGCGATCCTTCCGCCTCAGCCTTCCGAGCAGCCGGAATTACAGGCATGCACTACCACGCCCGGCTGATTTTTTAATTTATTGTAGAGATGAGGTCTCGCTGTCCAGGCGGGTCTCGAACCCGTGGTCTCAGGCAATCCACTCACCTCAGCCTCCCAAAGGCACGGGATTACAGGCTGAGCCACTGAGCCCGGCAAAAAAATGTTTCTTTTTAAGAAAACTGTCAGCTTAATTTAAGAATCTAAGGTCTTATTCCAAATTGCTGATCTGAGCAGCCTATTTTTATTTATAACACGGAAATCACACAAATCCACATACTTACTTTCAAAATAAAAGTTAATTAGCTTTAAGGATTCTAAAGCTACTCACTCAAAAAATCTTTTAATCATAGGATCTCCAGCTCAGATTAGTGTATATGTTGTTTTCCAGAAAATATGAAAAATACACTTAAACATAACATACCATAATATTTTAAAATTACTAAATAAAATGAAAAAAACCCAGTGCATAATACAAGTTTTATAAAGTTCCAACAAGTCACTCAATGTTCCTGAAGATAAATCAGCATTATTTACAGCAACCAAACTCCACAGAGCTTTCAACAACTATAACAATTTTGACAATGGTTGGTTAACATTACAGAAAGATGGGAAGTTTGGAGGGAAATTATAGCTGTTTTTTGCTATTCAAAATAAATATTCCATTTATTTTTGACCACTACAAAGAATATAAAATAGGTTTAACAGTGCCAGTACAATACAATCCCTAACTTTGATAAGTTGAGTTTAGACTCCAAGAAAAGAATTAAAAAGCCACTAAAATAATTTTATAATTAAATTGCAAGCTGAGCTGGGCTCGGTGGCTCAGCCTGTAATCCCACGCTTTGGGAGACTGAGCTGAGTGGATTGCCTGAGCCCGCGGATTCGAGACCCGCCTGGGCAACTTGGCGAGACCTCATCTCTACAATAAATAAAAAAATCAGCCAGGCGTTGTAGCACGCACCTGTAGTTCCAGCTACTTGGAAGGCTGAGGCGGAAGGCTGCCGGAGCCCAGCAGGTCGGGGCTGCAGTGGCCGGGAGTGGCCACTGCACTCCAGTCTGGACAACAGAGTGAGACTCCAACTCAAAAAATAAAAAAATAAAAATAAATTGCAAGCTGCACATTCAGATAATAAAATTATTCTTTGGAGATCCATTCAACTTTTGACTTGCTCAATTATGAAATATTTTTAAATGTGTAAAGTTGCCTATAAAGATTAGGAGATAAAGTCCATAGCTCAGTGTGAGGTCCTCAGTAAGATAAGTTTTCTGGAGATAAGTTTCCTGGTGGGTCATCACTGAAGGCATAGATGAGGCATGCTGGGACTCACCTCTATTCCTCCTAGGACACATCTGAGACTGTGGAAACGGAAGTCCAGCCAGGGGCCCTCAGCCCAGACCTGGTCACATATGTTTAGTTCCATACACAAGGAGACCAAGCCACTTGAGTCTTTTTTTCAAGTACAGTTTGGCTCTCCACAAAACACCCACTAACTCTTATCACACTCTAACATTTTCTCACATGGCTTTTTTCATATAGTGCATACAAATTGCCAGGAAACCATTACACCTGGCCACATGTTACCCATCATTCAACCTGCTCCAAGAATGAAAAACATTTCCCTTAATAAAGAATCATCTTAACAAGGAAAAGAAGAGGTAGAAAGCACCATAATGCCAAGGACTTAGGCTACACGGAGCTGTCAACGAGAATTATCCAATTTGCTGTGAGTTACCTAGCTACCAAAGCAGAAAGGCTAATTTTATATTAAAAATTTTTGATCCTTAAAAAATTTTTAAAAAATAAAGAATCATCTTTATTTGTTTTTCCTATGGGTATCTTTCTCCAAAATGGATACATGTATAACTTCCACTGTTGTCAAAATACTTAACTGGAAAATCCAGTAATATCTGAGTTCTTCACCAGTTTTTGCTTAAAAGTGCCTAAGTCCTTTATCAGCACTTGCTTAAAGGCATAGGTAGTGAGTGTATGCTAAATATCAAAGCAACAAAAATATTGAAACAAAAACCTAAAAGAAGGAAGACAGCACCATAACTTCAAGTAAATGGAGAAATCAGAAGAACCACATTTTTCTACAGAGTCCTTCTTTTCCAAATCAATAGTTATTTGGAACATTGTTATAATTCACCTTTATGAATAAACTAATAACAAATGATAAAATAGGTAACAAAAGCAGAATGTTTCCCCAAAAACTTTTAAAACAATAACACCTGACCATTCACACAAGCTGCACTCCAGTCTGGGCGACAGAGTGAGACTCCAACTCAAAAAAAAAAAAAAAAGAAAGAAAGAAATGATCACTCTGTAATGTGAGTAAATGCATGGAACACTCAAGCTCAGACACCAAATGAGGATGTCTCAGAAAAGAGTCACTTTCCTCAAAGCAGGCAGCTCTGCAACTCAGCAGTGCACCAGGAACCACCAGGGCAAAAGGGCGACTATTTTGTTTCCTCAGGTAAAAAGCTCAGTAGAGCATTTCCTCCCCTCTGACATCCTCCCACCACTTTTTTTTCCCTTTTTCTCTGATTCAAAAGAAGATAAGATATCCACTATTGATAAAATGGACTTAGCTGACTCTGAAAATGAAGCTCCATACTCTGGCCTCCCTCAGCTGTAGCAAGGTGCTGATGCCAGGATTTCAACTCAGCAGAACTGACAAGGATGCACACACTGATGTTGATAATACATTTCAAAGGTTCAAGAGAAAACACTGAGCTATTTAGTGGAAGAATGGGTGGAGGTTTTAATTTACCTGATCGAGGCTTCAGGCCAAACGGAGCTGTGCTGTTTGTTGTAGGAGAGACAGCAGGGGAGTTCTCTCTCACCTGTGATGTTAGAAGGAAAGGAAATTAGAAAAGCCAGAAGCAGAATGATGTATGCTTCTCTGTGGTCAAGGATGATAATAAAACCACTCCCTTTTTTACATTTGCTACTGTGTGATGAAGTCCTAGCTAAAAAAAAAAAAATCACTTTGCAAATCATTTAAGTGGTATAATCAAAAGGATGTTGCTTTGAATAACCCATTCAATTTTTTCTTGCTCTTCATAAAAATATTTTACAATCACATGAAACTGGCAATCCCTCTCTAGCACAGTTGTGCACATGGGTGTGTGTACACACACACACACACACACACAAATACACCTATGTCTCAAAGAAAGCACATCTGATAAAGACTCTCAAATACAAAGAAATAAGGAAACAGATAACACAGAACAGATGTCTCATCTACAGAGAAACTACACACTGAATCATTCATGGATAACAACACACACGAAATGTTGCCTATTTGAGTGATTTTCATTCTGCTTTCTGGTTATTTTTTTGGGGGGGTTGTTTGTTTTTGAGTCAGAGTCTCATTCTGTCACCCAGGCTGGAGTGCAGTGGCATGCTCATGGCAACTACAGCCTTAAGGATCACAGAAGGATTGCTCGAGCCTTTCAAGTAGCTGGAACCACAGGTGTACACCACCATGTCTTCCTAATTTTTTGATTTATTATAGAGATGACGTCTCACCACGTTGTCCAGACTGGGTTCAGGCATTCATTCCTCTTGCCTCTGCCTCCCAAAGTGCTGGGATTACAGGTGTGAGCCACTGAGCCCAATGTATTTTCTTATAATGATGTTCCCATGTTTGATTTTCAAACAGTCTTATAAAAATTAATTTTTAGTTATGAATAGGCCAAGTAAGGCTATGATAGCTAATAAGGGTGAGATGGATTCCCCCAGAAACTCTTTAATCACAACAATCTTAGATTATATAAATCTGTAAAAGACATCTCATTTAAGTTTCATGTAATACCTAACTTTCCTTTAATCTTCAGGAAACTTACCTCATTTGGGGAATACTGGCTCCCATTACTATGTAATGTTAGATCGTTTTGCACCTTAAAGAAGAAAAAAAAATGGTATGTTCCACTAGTCTGCAAAACTGCTGAGGCAAGAACTGCATTTTTCTTATTTCCATCATATCCATGGGCCACAGGCACACAATGAATACATGTTGAATTAATTAGTGTGTTAAGTAACTAAGTACTTTTCTGAAAACGTTCAGCTGTAGTCATAGAAAAATATATCTAAAGTATTACACAAACTAAGATAAAGAATTTCCCAGAGCAAAGAGTTCACTCTAAAATATCTGTGGACATCAACTTACTCTACTAGGTTACCAACCTGCCTGCTGGCTCCCATCCCCATTTTAATTATGAGTTTTTAGAAGTGGCACAAGGCAGCAGTTCTGGAACATTCAGAATCTCGTTGGAAGCTTTTAATAGAAACACATGTACGAACCCCATGTCACCTGGGCAAATCTCATATTGTCAATTCGACATCAATTTGCTTTGGCAACTGCCGGTTAAGAGAAAAGTTTAAGAAATTTTTCTATGGTAAAGCATGCAAGATTTACAAATGGTCATGGAGGAAAGTCAAGATGATATCCTGGTTTCTAGTATAAATGGTTGGATGGGTGGTGGCATCATTGAATACCACTGAGGATATGGGAGCAGTTGAAGAGGAAGTTGACAGCTTCCGTTTAGTATGTAGACAATGAGAAGCATGGAAACGAACTCTGAATGCTGAGGTGGGGTGGGGGGAGAGAGGCATTTGGGGCATGAGCTACAGATTTGGAAGTCATTATTATTTATGGGGTGCCTGAGCTCATGAGAGAGATCAGATGGTACAGGGAGACCGTGTAGAAGATGAGAAGCGGGGGCTGAGGGCAGAATCTTGGAAAACCAGCATAAAAGGGCCACATAAAGACATGGGTCCACAGGGGCACACTCTAGTTTATCATACCCAGGCCTGCCTTCTTTATATGGTCATCAAAAACCTCACTGATCCACCCTAATACAAAATTGGGTGCTAGCCAGTATAAACATATGTGTATATGCCACCGAATCAGTGAAAATGTACCCGTTCCTAGTCATTATTAAGGACTGCTATTAAAAAATATTCCCAACTTTGACACAAATCCAAGGGAAAACATATTTTTAGAATAAAATGTCATTAACATTCTCATCCAATTAAATGGCTTTGTTGGTAATGCTAACAAGTAACTCAGGGTTGATTCTTTCCATAAGCAACTCCTCCAGTTTCTCCTACTGTTCCCGCCCCCACACACCCTCCCCAACTCGGTATTATTTATGTATATGCATGCAATTTGCAACTCATCCTGTATGGATGCCAGCACCACCCACTCTTAATGTGAACAGTAATCCAAAGTATGTGTAAAGTCAAATAATGTGATGTGCTACCAATTACATACCACTTCCTAATCCTGGCCGGCCCTTTCTGCTGGGCTCACATACTGTGCTGATTCTACCATGGCCAAGCTGCCTTGCTCAACTGTCTCCTAACTGAACTGTCAAAAAGTCTTTGTTACTTCTGTCTTGGTCTTTTTAAGCTTTCTATCCTTTCCCCAGTGTCCCCTAGCATCTAAAACAGACTCAGGATTGCAGACGTTCTCATATTTTTCTCTCAGTTTTATCTAAAATTTACTTTTATATCTACATCTTCTTTCCTATCTAAAATTTAGTTTTATATCTAAATCTTCTTTCCTATCTAAAATTTAGTTTTATATCTAAATCTTCTTTCCTATTTAAAATTTAGTTTTATATCCAAATCTTCTTTCCTCTTCTTCCTCTTCTTTTTTTTTTTAAAGTCAGGGTCTCACTCTGTCATGGAGATGTGTCTGGAGTACAGTGACACCATCATGGCTCACTGTAGCCTTGAACCCCTGGGTTCAAGCAATCCTCCCACCTAAGCCTCCCAAGTAGCTGAGACTACAGTTGTATGCCACCATGCCTAGCTAAATTTTTCAATTATTTTGTAGAGACAGGGTCTCACTGTGTTGTCAAGGCTGGTCCCAAACTCCTGAGCTCAAGAAATCTTCCCGCCTCAGCCTCCCAAAGTGCTGGGATTACAGATGTGATCCTCCATGCCAGGCCAATCTCCACAATTTTTAAAGTTCCTTAAAAGCAAAGCCAACTCCATAGCCTTCATATTCTAGTCCTCTACACCAAAAACATGACTAAACCCAGCACAGGCATTCAACAACCACTGGCTAACTGATGCAAGACTACAGAGCAGGATGAAAGAAAAACTGGATTATTTTTTGGAGGGTGAACCCCTTGTGGTACAGACTTCCCCCACTATGTAAGTGTTCTAGAAACCCATCAGCACCAGTGTACTAGCTGGCAGTGTTTGGCTTCAGTGAGTTTTTTTTGGAGATTCTTTCAGCGCATTTGTCATTTCATCATGAGTGACTTACAAGCACACCTGCCCATACCACCCTGAGTGTTCAGCAATTGTTGACCCAAAACAACATGGCCCCCGTGCCCCACCATCCCTATTTACCCTCTCTGTCCTCAAGTGACTTTTTTTGTTGTTATTTCCCGATGAAAAAAGTCCTCAAAGGGAAACATTTTGCTGATGTGGAAGAGGTGAAACAAAAAACAGCAGAAGCCCAAAAAGGCATCCAAATTGATGAGTTCAAAACTGTTTTGTGCAGTGGGAAAAGTGTCTTGTAGGTGTACCGCATCAAACGAAGAGCAATTTGGATGTGATTGAAGATTAAACATACAAGAATACATAATTTTAATAAATAAACTTCAGGTTTTTTTGATACCCCCCTCATATGATGAAAGGAGTTGCTTCTGCCTGAATGAGATGGATGAGCGAATACAAAAATAGCCAAATCATGAATGAGGATCATATTTAAGTTTGACATAATCCATATTATTGGCCTCACAAATCCAAAACTTCCTTTTCTTTTCCTTCTTGTAGTGACTTTCGTCTTCCACCAGAGCCAACTATCCCCCACTCCCTTTTTAAAAACACGGAGGTGTGTCTGTCAAGGACAGAGAATGAAGACAAAAAAAGTCCCTCCCTTATGCCAAATATGACTCCTCATTCAACCAGAAAAGAAAAAATCCTACACTGTATTAAAATAACACAAAACATTGTCATTTGGAGACAGAGTAGGGCTATCTTTTTTTTTTTTTCGGTTTCATGTCTTCCTGGTGCTCATGAAATCATGGACATAGGAATATGCCTTTCTAAAACTCTACTGGAGTGAAAGTTCATGGACATTTTTTTTTTTTTGAGTTGGAGTCTCACTCTGTCGCCCAGACTGGAGTGCAGTGGCTACTCCCGGC